TGAGGGCTGGGGACCATGGTCTCAGGGAACATCTAGCTCAATTGGCATAACATAGTTTATAAAGAAAATGTTCTATATCCTACTTTGGTGAGTAGCGTCTGGGGTCTTAAAACCTTACAAGTGGCCATCTACTCCATTGGCCTCACCCTGTCTGGAGCAAGAGTGAATGAATGAAGGAAACCAAAGACGCAAGGGAAAGATTAGTGCAATGGACTAATGGACCACAAGTACCACAGCCTCAATCAGACTGAGTCCAACATAACTAGATTGTGCCCAGCTACCACCATCAACTGCTCTGACAGGGATCACAATAGAGGGTCCCAGACAGAGCTGGAGGAAAATGTAGAACAAAATTCTAACTCACCAAAACAAACAGACAAAAAAAAAACAGACTTACTGGTCTGACAGAGGCTGGAGAAACCCTGTGAGTATGGCCCCGAGACTCCGTTTTAACTAAGTACTGAAGTCGCTTCTGAGGTTCACCCTTCAACCAAAGATTACACAGGCCTATAAAACAAAACAAGACTAAATGGGCACACCAGCCCAGGGGCAAGGACGAGAAGGCAGGAAGGAACAGGAAAACTGGCAATGGGGAACCCATGGTAGAGAAGAGGAGTGTTGACATGTCACAGGGGTGGCAACCAATGTCACAAGACAATATGTGTATTAATTGTTTAATGAGAAACTGATTTGCTCTGAAAACCCTCATCTAAAATACAATAATAAATCTGAATATATTAGAACATACTAATTCCTTTTCAGAAAAAAAAAGTGTTCAAATTTAAAAAGCTACTGCCTAGTTTAAAAAAAAAAAAGACTACATTCATTTATAATTCATTTATGATTCATTTATGATTCATCTATGATTCATCCTTTCCCTGAGGATGTAGCTTTTGGGGTCTCAGCTTATTGTGGGAAGGGTTTCTGTTAGGCTTTCCACTGTATGTGGGCCTGGACTTTGATTTCTGTCCCCTTGATCCCTGAAGATATAAAAATGGAAATTCAGGTTTGTAGGGATTGGCAAACACATTCAGGGAGATGCAGTTTCTTTGATTATTTATTTTTGCAGGTTCATATTTTCCTTCGGTTTTGGCTGGGGAATTTCTTACTATGTTGTCAACTCTTCAGTGATTTTGAAATGACTTTTAAAAATCCTTTATGCATTACTTTTAGTGGTTTTCAGCTGATGGGAGATTGTTTCAAATAACCTAGTCCACCATTACTATAAATTTGAATTCCTCAGCTTTTTGTAGAACAAAAATGTCC